GGATCACACTCCACCACCACCACCAACAGTCTGGTGGATCACACTCCCCCACCACCACCACCAACAGTCTGGTGGATCACACTCCACCACCACCACCACCAACAGTCTGGTGGATCACACTCCACCACCACCACCAACAACAGTCTGGTGGATCACACTCCCCCACCACCACCACCAACAGTCTGGTGGATCACACTCCCCCACCACCACCAACAGTCTGGTGGATCACACTCCCCCACCACCACCACCAACAGTCTGGTGGATCACACTCCACCACCACCACCAACAACAGTCTGGTGGATCACACTCCCCCACCACCACCACCAACAGTCTGGTGGATCACACTCCCCCACCACCACCAACAGTCTGGTGGATCACACTCCCCCACCACCACCAACAGTCTGGTGGATCACACTCCACCACCACCACCAACAGTCTGGTGGATCACACTCCACCACCACCACCAACAGTCTGGTGGATCACACTCCACCACCACCACCAACAGTCTGGTGGATCACACTCCACCACCACCACCAACAGTCTGGTGGATCACACTCCACCACCACCACCAACAGTCTGGTGGATCACACTCCACCACCACCACCACCAACAGTCTGGTGGATCACACTCCCCCACCACCACCAACAGTCTGGTGGATCACACTCCACCACCACCACCAACAGTCTGGTGGATCACACTCCACCACCACCACCAACAGTCTGGTGGATCACACTCCACCACCACTAACAGTCTGGTGGATCACACTCCACCACCACCAACAACAGTCTGGTGGATCACACTCCACCACCACCACCAACAGTCTGGTGGATCACACACTCCCCCACCACCAACAGTCTGGTGGATCACACTCCCCCACCACCAACAGTCTGGTGGATCACACTCCACCACCACCAACAGTCTGGTGGATCACACTCCACCACCCCCACCAACAGTCTGGTGGATCACACTCCACCACCACCAACAGTCTGGTGGATCACACTCCACCACCACCACCAACAGTCTGGTGGATCACACTCCACCACCACCACCAACAGTCTGGTGGATCACACTCCACCACCACCAACAGTCTGGTGGATCACACTCCACCACCACCAACAGTCTGGTGGATCACACTCCACCACCACCAACAGTCTGGTGGATCACACTCCACCACCACCAACAGTCTGGTGGATCTCACTCCACCACCACCAACAGTCTGGTGGATCACACTCCACCACCACCACCAACAGTCTGGTGGATCACACTCCACCACCACCACCAACAGTCTGGTGGATCACACTCCACCACCACCACCACCAACAGTCTGGTGGATCACACTCCACCACCACCACCAACAGTCTGGTGGATCACACTCCACCACCACCACCAACAGTCTGGTGGATCACACCCCACCACCACCACCAACAGTCTGGTGGATCACACCCCACCACCACCACCAACAGTCTGGTGGATCACACACTCCCCCACCACCAACAGTCTGGTGGATCACACTCCACCACCACCAACAGTCTGGTGGATCACACTCCACCACCCCCACCAACAGTCTGGTGGATCACACTCCACCACCACCAACAGTCTGGTGGATCACACTCCACCACCACCACCACCAACAGTCTGGTGGATCACACTCCACCACCACCACCAACAGTCTGGTGGATCACACTCCCCCACCACCACCACCAACAGTCTGGTGGATCACACTCCACCACCACCACCAACAGTCTGGTGGATCACACTCCACCACCACCAACAGTCTGGTGGATCACACTCCACCACCACCACCAACAGTCTGGTGGATCACACTCCACCACCACCACCAACAGTCTGGTGGATCACACTCCACCACCACCACCAACAGTCTGGTGGATCACACTCCACCACCACCACCAACAGTCTGGTGGATCACACTCCACCACCACCACCAACAGTCTGGTGGATCACACTCCACCACCACCACCAACAGTCTGGTGGATCACACTCCACCACCACCACCAACAGTCTGGTGGATCACACTCCACCACCACCACCAACAGTCTGGTGGATCACACTCCACCACCACCACCACCAACAGTCTGGTGGATCACACTCCACCACCACCACCACCAACAGTCTGGTGGATCACACTCCACCACCACCACCACCAACAGTCTGGTGGATCACACTCCACCACCACCACCACCAACAGTCTGGTGGATCACACTCCACCACCACCACCACCAACAGTCTGGTGGATCACACTCCCCCACCACCACCACCAACAGTCTGGTGGATCACACTCCACCACCACCACCACCAACAGTCTGGTGGATCACACTCCACCACCACCACCACCAACAGTCTGGTGGATCACACTCCACCACCACCACCAACAACAGTCTGGTGGATCACACTCCCCCACCACCACCACCAACAGTCTGGTGGATCACACTCCCCCACCACCACCAACAGTCTGGTGGATCACACTCCCCCACCACCACCACCAACAGTCTGGTGGATCACACTCCACCACCACCACCAACAACAGTCTGGTGGATCACACTCCCCCACCACCACCACCAACAGTCTGGTGGATCACACTCCACCACCACCACCAACAGTCTGGTGGATCACACTCCCCCACCACCACCAACAGTCTGGTGGATCACACTCCCCCACCACCACCAACAGTCTGGTGGATCACACTCCACCACCACCACCAACAGTCTGGTGGATCACACTCCACCACCACCACCAACAGTCTGGTGGATCACACTCCACCACCACCACCAACAGTCTGGTGGATCACACTCCCCCACCACCACCAACAGTCTGGTGGATCACACTCCACCACCACCAACAGTCTGGTGGATCACACTCCACGACCACCAACAACAGTCTGGTGGATCACACTCCACCACCACCAACAGTCTGGTGGATCACACTCCACCACCACCAACAACAGTCTGGTGGATCACACTCCACCACCACTAACAGTCTGGTGGATCACACTCCACCACCACCAACAACAGTCTGGTGGATCACACTCCACCACCACCACCACCAACAGTCTGGTGGATCACACTCCACCACCACCACCAACAGTCTGGTGGATCACACTCCACCACCACCACCAACAGTCTGGTGGATCACACTCCACCACCACCACCAACAGTCTGGTGGATCACACTCCACCACCACCAACAACAACAGTCTGGTGGATCACACTCCACCACCACCAACAACAGTCTGGTGGATCACACTCCACCACCACCAACAGTCTGGTGGATCACACTCCACCACCACCACCACCAACAGTCTGGTGGATCACACTCCACCACCACCAACAACAGTCTGGTGGATCACATTCCACCACCACCACCAACAGTCTGGTGGATCACACTCCACCACCACCACCAACAGTCTGGTGGATCACACACTCCCCCACCACCAACAGTCTGGTGGATCACACTCCCCCACCACCAACAGTCTGGTGGATCACACTCCACCACCAACAACAGTCTGGTGGATCACACTCCACCACCACCAACAACAGTCTGGTGGATCACACACTCCCCCACCACCAACAGTCTGGTGGATCACACTCCCCCACCACCAACAGTCTGGTGGATCACACTCCACCACCACCAACAGTCTGGTGGATCACACTCCACCACCCCCACCAACAGTCTGGTGGATCACACTCCACCACCACCAACAGTCTGGTGGATCACACTCCACCACCACCACCAACAGTCTGGTGGATCACACTCCACCACCACCACCAACAGTCTGGTGGATCACACTCCACCACCATCACCAACAGTCTGGTGGATCACACTCCACCACCATCACCAACAGTCTGGTGGATCACACTCCACCACCACCAACAGTCTGGTGGATCACACTCCACCACCACCAACAGTCTGGTGGATCACACTCCACCACCACCAACAGTCTGGTGGATCTCACTCCACCACCACCAACAGTCTGGTGGATCACACTCCACCACCACCACCAACAGTCTGGTGGATCACACTCCACCACCACCAACAGTCTGGTGGATCACACTCCACCACCACCACCAACAGTCTGGTGGATCACACCCCACCACCACCACCAACAGTCTGGTGGATCACACCCCACCACCACCACCAACAGTCTGGTGGATCACACTCCACCACCACCAACAGTCTGGTGGATCACACCCCACCACCAACAGTCTGGTGGATCACACTCCACCACCACCACCAACAGTCTGGTGGATCACACCCCACCACCACCACCAACAGTCTGGTGGATCACACTCCACCACCACCAACAGTCTGGTGGATCACACTCCACCACCACCAACAGGTCCTGTGACCCCCTCTGAGGGTGGGGTCACTCGAGGGAGGTCCGTGACCCCAGGACTGAGGGTGGGGTCACACGGGGGAGGTCCGTGACCCCAGGACTGAGGGTGGGGTCACACGGGGGAAGTCCGTGACCCCAGGACTGAGGGTGGGGTCACACGAGGAGGTCCGTGGCCCCAGGACTGAGGGTGGGGTCACATGGGGGAGGTCCGTGACCCCAGGACTGAGGGTGGGGTCACACGGGGAGGTCCGTGACCCCAGGACTGAGGGTGGGGTCACATGGGGGAGGTCCGTGACCCCAGGACTGAGGGTGGGGTCACACGGGGGAGGTCCGTGACCCCAGGACTGAGGGTGGGGTCACACGGGGGAGGTCCGTGACCCCAGGACTGAGGGTGGGGTCACACGGGGGAGGTCCGTGACCCCAGGACTGAGGGTGGGGTCACACGGGAGCGGTCCCTGACCCCAGGACTGAGGGTGGGGTCACACGGGGGAGGTCCGTGACCCCAGGACTGAGGGTGGGGTCACACGGGGGAGGTCCCTGACCCCAGGACTGAGGGTGGGGTCACACGGGGGAGGTCCGTGACCCCAGGACTGAGGGTGGGGTCACATGGGGGAAGCCATATGCATGCATGAGTGATGAGGAAGCCTTCACTCGCTGCTCAGGCACTCCAGCACCCACACCTCCACTATCTGACTCATCATGGCTCAACGTGAGTATACTCATCATGGCTCACCGTGAGTATACTCATCATGGTTCACCGTGAGTATACTCATCATGGTTCACCGTGAGTATACTCATCATGGTTCATCGTGAGTATACTCATCATGGTTCACCGTGAGTATATTCATCATGGTTCACCGTGAGTATGGTCATACAAATACAAATATTTACTCAGGTAAAGTACATACATACAAGGTAAGATACAAAAGTTGATGGAGTTATAGATAGAGCTAGTACATACAATGCCTAAAGCCACTATTACGCAGTGTTTCGGGCAGGAAAAACACTAAGACTAAAACTTAATACTAACTTTGATTAAAGTATAAATTGTGTTGAGAACAAATCAGAAAAAAATGAAAAAGGGGGGGGGGAACATGGCAGAAAAAAATACAATTTGGTCAACAAACAGCATTGTTAAAAATCGTAGACATGGGTTGACATGTAGGGGTGAGGTAGGTTACATTGAGTTAATTAGGTAGTTCTTAGTTTTTATCTTAAACTGGTTGAGAGAGGTACAGTCTTTAACATGATTAGGAAGGTCATTCCACATTCTGGGTCCCTTGATTTGTAGAGCATTTCTAGTTTAAGTCGTACTCTTGGAATATCAAATTTGTATTTGTTTCTGTGTGGTGCTCATGGGTTCTCTTATAACCTTCTAGGAAACTTAAGGTCAGGATTGACATTACAGTTCAGCGTTTAATATATATAAAAGACACAGGAGAGGATGTGCAGTGACTTAATGTCTAACATATTCAGAGATTTGAGTAGGGGTACAGAGTGATGTCTGGGGCCACAGTTAGATATTGTTCTAATAGCAGCTTTGTGTTGAGTAATTAGAAGATGTAAATGATTTTGGGTAGTAGAACCCTAAGCACAAATACCATAGTTGAGATAAGGATAGATGAGAGAGTAATAGAGAGTCACCAGGGCAGGGCGGGGTACATAATATCTGATTTCAGAAAGAAATGTCAACAGTTTTTGAAACATTTTTTTATATATTTAGAATGTGTCCCTGGAAATTCAGCTTGTTCTCAATGAGAACGCCAAGGAATTTGCTATCTACTTTATTACAAATTTGGGTATTGTTTATCCTGAGATTTATTTGATTTGAGGATTTATTGCCAAACAAATTATAGAAAGTTTTGTCAATGTTGAGGGTGAGTTTGTTGGCAGTTAGCTAAAGATGGACTTTATTTAGCTCAGTATTCACTGTGGCATTTAGAGCAAGGGGGTCAGGACTGGAGTAAATGAAGGTTGTGTCGTCAGCAAATAGAATTGGTTTGAGGTGTTGGGAGGCATTTGGAAGGTCATTAATGTAGATGAGAAAGAGGAGAGGGCCAAGTATGCTGCCCTGAGGAACACCAATGTTGATGGGTAGGGTGGGAGAAATTGAATTATTCACAGAAACATACTGGAGCCTGTCAGTAAGGTAAGACTGAAGGTATTGCAGGGAGTGTCCTCTGACTCCATAATGATGTAATTTAAGAAGAAGGTTTTGGTGGTTGACAGTGTCAAAAGCCTTACGCAGGTCCACAAATAACCCAACAGGGAACTCATTTTTATCAAGAGCTGCATGTATCAAGTTAATCATACTAATAAGTGCATCGTTAGTGCTTTTTGGGGGCCTGCAGCCATATTGACAAGAGCTAAGTATATTGTGTTTGGCTAGATAAGAGTAAAGCTGCTTGTAGATTAGTTTTTCAAATATTTTTGACAAGTTTGGCAGAATTGATATAGGTCTGAAGTTGTTGACATCAGTGAGATCACCACATTTGTGGACTGGGGTTACTCTCGCATTTTTTTTAGAATATCTGGAAAAGTTTGGAGTTCAAGTGATTTACTGTAGAGCAATGCAATGGCAAGAGCTAAAGTTCTGGAGGCTTTTTTTGTAAATTAGAGTTGGTATCTCCTCAAGGGCACCAGACTTGGTTTTAAGGGAGAGGATTATCTCATTATCATCAGTGGAATTAGCAGGCGTTAGGTACATAGACTGTGGATAGTTACCTGGAAGATAGTCCTGAACATTAATACTGGAAGATGGAATATTATTTGCAAGGGCTGACCCAGTGGATGAGAAGAACCTATTGAACTCAAATAGCAGTATCAGAGGCTGAAAGTAGACCATCGTTATTGGACAGGAGTATTGGTTTGTTATTTATAATCTTTGATCCCAATATTTGTGAGATTGTGCTCCATGTTTTCTTAATATTGCCCTTTGTGTGGGTAAATTTGTCTCCGTAGTATTTCATTTTGGCGTCGTAACCTAATTATTTTAGATAGCAATGATGAGTAATTCTTTGAGAATTCTTTGGAGACGATTCCTAACCTATACTTCTTCTCAAGGTCATGTTTTTAATTAATGGATTTAAGTATACCCTTTGTAAGCCAAGGATTGTTTAGCCTTTTAGTTGTGACTTGTTTCGTTAGCATAGGACAGTGGGTGTTATGAAGGCTCAGAGTTTTTTGACGAAATGATTGCACTGCTAGGTTGATGTCCCCTATGTTCCCTAATTCGGACTCCCAGTTGACATTAGCAGCAGCAGCTATATAATTGCCTATAGCAGTTTCATTGTGCAGCCTAAAGCTTATCTCCCTTGCCTCTAGAGGTGGTTTGTTAATGTTGGTTAGGAGAAATGTGGGGTAATGGTCTGTAGTGCTATCGGTGATTATACCTGAAGTAACCGGAGAGGTTATGTTGGTCCAGATGTGATCAAGAGTCGTGGCAGTACTGTCAGTGATTCTAGTAGGTCTAGTGATTAAGGGTATGAGGAAGCAGGCATTCACACAGTTGAGGAAACTAGCAGCAGGAGGGTTATCAGGCTCGTAGAGGTCAATGTTAAAGTCACCAGAAATAATTAAGTGGTTTTTGTTCAGTCTGTTCTCTAGTATTAGATTTCTAAGGTTTGAGTTAAATTCAGTCACATCAGTGTTAGGAACCCTGTAGACTGCTCCCACAGCAACCCGTTCTCGCACTTTCTTACAGTCAATATTGACTTATTAAATACGTGCATATGTGACATACTAATTTATTGTGAATATTTTAGTTTACCTTGAAAAGCTTCATAGAAAATACCGACCTTACCTAACCTTCTTAGTATGTTAAGATAAGCATCTTATTACTTCGTAATTACATTTATTACTTAACCTATTATAAGTATAGGTTCAGTAATAATTGTAATTACGAAGCAATAAGATGCTTATCTTAACATACTAAGAAAGTTAGGTAAGGTCGGTGTTTTCTATGAAGCTTTTCAAGGTAAACTAAAATATTCACAATAAATTAGTATGTCACCATATGCACGTATTTAATAAGTCAATATTGACTGTAAGAAAGTGCGAGAACGGGTTGCCCACAGTCAAGACAGCATCGTTACCCTTGACTCTGAAACAGGCAAATATATACTCTCCATAAGGGTCTGTAGATTTAATTACTTTTAAGCAAGTCAGTGCATGGTGGTAGTAAAGAGCAGTACCACCACCTCCTTGTATAGGACGACAGTTGTGAATGGCTGAGTAGTTAGGTATGTTGTAGAGTTGAGAAGTATCCTCTTTTATCCAAGTTTCAGTAAACACAATAAAAGAGAATTTGTTGTCAACAGTTTGAATCAGGGCATTAACATCATCAAAGTGTTTCCTTAGAGATCTTACATTCAAGTTAATAACAGAAACATTGTGATTACACGCTAAAACATTGTTTACATCATGTGCTGTGTAATACCTACAATTTTGATCATTAAAGTGCTGATTGTCATAGATACTAGATAAGAGGTTAAGGTCTGGGTCTATAATAGTTTGCATAAGAGAGCTGTTTTACAGAAAAGCCAAAAAGACAATGATAAAAGAAATAGCTATGAAAAAAATATATATAACACTATATACAAAAATGAAGTAGGTTGCTTAAAAGTACTTTCAGGTACACTGAAGGTAATTATTTGCACTAATGATCAAAACTGCACAGGCCAAGCCAAGAGCACAAGGGTGCAAGGGTGGTGAGGCTAGGCCATCTGGGTTACAAGGGTGGTGAGGCTAGGCAACCTGGGTTACAAGGGTGGTGAGGCTAGGCAACCTGGGTTACAAGGGTGGTGAGGCTAGGCAACCTGGGTTACAAGGGTGGTGAGGCTAGGCAACCTGGGTTACAAGGGTGGTGAGGCTAGGCAACCTGGGTTACAAGGGTGGTGAGGCTAGGCAACCTGGGTTACAAGGGTGGTGAGGCTAGGCAACCTGGGTTACAAGGGTGGTGAGGCTAGGCAACCTGGGTTACAAGGGTGGTGAGGCTAGGCAACCTGGGTTACAAGGGTGGTGAGGCTAGGCAACCTGGGTTACAAGGGTGGTGAGGCTAGGCAACCTGGGTTACAAGGGTGGTGGTGAGGCTAGGCAACCTGGGTTACAAGGGTGGTGAGGCTAGGCAACCTGGGTTACAAGGGTGGTGAGGCTAGGCAACCTGGGTTACAAGGGTGGTGAGGCTAGGCAACCTGGGTTACAAGGGTGGTGAGGCTAGGCAACCTGGGTTACAAGGGTGGTGAGGCTAGGCAACCTGGGTTACAAGGGTGGTGAGGCTAGGCAACCTGGGTTACAAGGGTGGTGAGGCTAGGCAACCTGGGTTACAAGGGTGGTGAGGCTAGGCAACCTGGGTTACAAGGGTGGTGAGGCTAGGCAACCTGGGTTACAAGGGTGGTGAGGCTAGGCAACCTGGGTTACAAGGGTGGTGAGGCTAGGCAACCTGGGTTACAAGGGTGGTGAGGCTAGGCAACCTGGGTTACAAGGGTGGTGAGGCTAGGCAACCTGGGTTACAAGGGTGGTGAGGCTAGGCAACCAAGGCTAGGCAACCTGGGTTACAAGGGTGGTGAGGCTAGGCAACCTGGGTTACAAGGGTGGTTAGGCAACCTGGGTTGGTGGTGAGGCTAGGCAACCTGGGTTACAAGGGTGGTGAGGCTAGGCAACCTGGGTTACAAGGGTGGTGAGGCTAGGCAACCTGGGTTACAAGGGTGG